AATACACAGAGTTTATTGTCTATTGTCTAATTGTTGACTTAGGCATCAGAGGGGTTTCCGACACACACCCGCCGGTTAGCTCACGTTTGTGTTTTCAGGTGGCAAAGTAACGTTGTTTGGATGAGTGCAAACTTGATCAACAGGACCATACGAGAAGAATTATTCCGTGCTCGTACAGAAATGTTGTAGATGACTTCCTGACATTTAAAAATATGCAGATATTACTAGGGATGGCAATTTAAACCCCATCCGACGAGGATCCAACCCCTCGACCTTGATTAAAACGATTTTTCTCCGAAAATGCCCCCAATGTGCTGGGGATAGTATTCGAAATGAATCCTCAACAATTTTCGGGCTGTGGACGGTGATAGGTTCCCCCGCCCTGGCCCCCGCCCCGGCTCCGGCTCCGTCCTCGTTTCCGTTTCCGCCCCAACCTAAAATTACTATTATACCCCTCTATATATATATATGTATGTGTGTGCGCACGCGCGCGCGCGCGTGTATGTGTTTCTCTAGGGATTTTTTGACCCATTGTAAGGTTTAAGTAATAATATTGGTTGTGCATGCTACTTTGAAAAATTCACAAGTGTTTTTTTTTTTTTTGGGGATTTTTTTTTTTTTTTTTTTTTTTTGGTGGTGTGGGTGTTATTTTGTGACTTTTTTGTCATGTTGTTGTTGTTTGAATGCTTATGTTTAGACATTGCTAGATTATCTTTTTATATATATTATTTTTATTTGTCTCAAAAATAAATAAATAAATAAAATGGGATATGCAAAATTCAAAAATTTTTCGGGGTCGGGGAGCCCGATCCCCTTTAAGGGACGGGGCAGGGAGGTGATGGGTTCCCTACCGGGGATCGAGGGAGGAGATTGAGAATTTTATACCTTTGGAGATTGAAAACGGAGAGTGTAATCCTGGCCTCACCCGACCTATTGCCATTCTAGATACCACCTCAATTGTTTTGGACTTATCTAAAATTGTTACCTTTTCCAACCATATAAACGGAAAATGGGTGGCACCCCATGTGCAAGTATTGTTCCATTTGATAATTTTTTCTCAAAAAATGGTTTGATCAAAAGACCAAAATGACCCTATCCTTCACATGATTTGAAATGAATGTTATACTCTACCCAATGTGGAGGGAAAAGTGGAACCATCATGAAATTAGTACTCCCTCTCCTTTTTATTTTATATTTTTTAATTTGTTTATTTATTTATTATATGTTTGTCTTATTTATTTTATTTTTTATTTAATCAAATATTTATTTGTTTAATTGGTCTTCCATTCTATAATGTCTTTTTTATTATTTAATTTAATTTTTTAATTTTCTTTAAACTTAATTATACAACTTGTTAGGAATATTGAAATATTTTTTGCAAGCAACATTGGAGTAGGAAACATTTGATTATATTTTATTAAACGTTATTATACAATTTATTTTTTTCCTATTATATTTATATCTCTTATTTATTTTTTATTTAATCAAATATTTATTTGTTTAATTTGTCATCCACTCTGTAGTGTCTTTTTTTTAAAAAAAAATTTATTGTTTATTTTTTTAAAACTTTATTATACAGTTTGTTAGAAAATATTGAAATGTCTTCTGCAAACAACATTGGAGGGAAAACACTTGATTATATTTTATTAAACTTTATTATACAATTTGTTTATAGAATCATAAGATATTGATCTTTTCATTTACAAATTAGTTACATATTTTTTAGAAAAATAGAAAACAAAATTCAATCAAATATGATGAATTGAATTTCTCATGACATATTTTTTTGAAACTATTTTTAATGCTAAAATGTATGTGACTATTTTTTTGGTTATTTTTAGTGAATTAAATTGTATTATTTTTATTGTATGATTTGAGTTAATAAAAATAAAAAATAATATTTGTATGGTTTAATTATTATTATCAACATGGTTTATTATTATTTTTTATTTATACAATTTACGTTAACATTTGTGTAGCTGGAATATTAGTATTATTATTGTTGTTGTTGTTGTTGTTGTTGTTATTATTATTAATTTTGTACAATTTGAGTTAATATTATTTTATTAGTCTTTACGTTTTTTTAGTAAATAAAAATAATATTTTCTGTTCAAACATAATTCTAAATAATTTTTATTTACATTAAATTCAAATCATATAAATTATTTTAGTTATGTAAGTTTTTTTTAAATATATTTTTTGAATTATTAATTTAAATTTTTATTAAATATGTTAAATATTATTCTTATTTTAAAGATTTTGTTGATATTTTTTGAATAATATTAATTTTATATATTAAAAATTATATGTATTTTATTAAAATAAAATTAAATAAAATTTTTAATTAAAAAAGTGAGTCTAGTGAGGTAATGTGATATGTGTTGGGTAAATAAAAAATGTACATATTTTCGTATGTGAGGAGCGTGAGTGTGTATTTGTCAGTAAGAGTAAACTAGTTTTTTTTTTACATTGACGTCAACACCATAACAATTGTAAATAAGTCAAAAATTATAGAAAAAATGTCTGTATATTTCTAAATTTCAAAAAACCATCCACATCAACACAAAATCACAAAGGATTAAGGGCTTTTTACTTTTTAATCAACACAAAATCACAAAGGATTATGGGCTTTTTACTTTTTAATTAATAAATATAAGGTCTCACAAGATATTTTTAATTAAGTGATTTTTTTCAAACCTTGCTCTCCTTCCGACGTTGATAAGACTTACAGTTATCCTATGGCTCCATCATCTCTCAGTCAGTATGGAAAATTATGTCCTTTTACATAAGATTTATCATTGGCATCAATAGGAGGAGTATTGACTCCCACAGAACTTAATTGGAGCCAAATAGCCTTATATAAAGATAGGGCCATTTTTTGATAAGTCCTATTTATAACTGTTTTGTTCCATAAAACCCAAACTGTTTCTGAATATTCCATTAGGTCCATTAATTGTTAAAGGACGAAATAACCCTCTCCGCCTCTCCCGCGTGAAACCGATTTTGCAAAAACCCATTCTATTCGAAATATTCAATCTACAAAATTTTCAAAACAAAAACTCAATCGACGAAACGATACTCATATTGCCTCCAGTAACCCTAGATTCCTCTCCGTCTCACCACTGCGAAGCTTCACATCGGAAGGAGGGTGCTTCGTCGTTCGAAGATTCTTGTCGCCCCATTGAGTTTATGTTATCCACTGACTGTGATCTATACCCACCAACCATGACGAACAAAAGTAAGGAATACCATTCCACCTTCTGCTTCTCAAATCATAATGTCATCATTGATGTATACATACACCTTCTGGTTTTCGGATTTGAATTTGTAAACATAGATGTTTTCGGAATTAATTTTGTAAAAATATATGTAAACATTCACATTGGCCTCTAACTGTTGTAGTTTTCGGGATTTGTTTTTGCACACATGAATGATGTGAACATTCACATTACTATTGATTACTGGGTAAATTTAGAGTAGTACACACTGATGTAAACACATTAATGTCAGAACACCCAAACTTCACTCAATACTGTGATGGAGTATGATGTAAACATTGACATTGAGACATCAATGCCCAAGTTGTTTGTGTTATTGGGTGTAGTTTGGCGCTGTTGGTTCCCCCCTTCGATTTTTAGAAAATTATAACATAATGTGATCACCCATGTAAGCATTCACATTGGCCAGTAAATGTTGTCGTGTTCGAAATTTATTTCTCAAACATGGATGATGTGAACATTCACATTACTATTGATTACTGGGTAAATTTAGAGTAGTGCACATTAATGTCAGAACACCCCAAACTTCACTCAATACTGTGATGGAGTATGATGTAAACATTGACATTGTGACATCAATGCCCAAGTTGGGGTGTAGTTTGGCACTGTTGGTTCCCCCCTTCGATTTTTAGAAAATTATAACATAATGTGACCACCCATGTAAGCATTCACATTGGCCAATAAATGTTGTTGTGTTCGAAATTTATTTCTGAAACATGGATGATGTGAACATTCACATTACTATTGATTACTGGGTAAATTTAGAGTAGTGCACACTGATGTGAACATTCACATCATGTGAATGTTCACATTAATGTCAGAACACCCCAAACTTCACTCAATACTGTGATGGAGTATGATGTAAACATTCACATTGTGACATCAACGCCCAAGTTGTTTGTGTTATTGGGTGTAGTTTGGCACTGTTGGTTCCCCTCTTTGATTTTTAGAACATTATAACATAATGTGATCGCCCATGTAAGCATTCACATTGCCCAGTAACTGTTGTCGTGTTTGAAATTTATTTCTCAAACATGGATGATGTGAACATTCACATTACTATTGAGTACTAGGTAAATTTAGAGTATTACAATGTTCACATTAATGTCAGAACCCCCAAACTTCACGCAAAACTGTGATGGCGTATGATGTAAACATTCACATTGTGACATCAATGCCAAAGTTGTTTGTGTTATTGGGTGTAGTTTGGCGTTGTTGGTTCCCCCCTTTGATTTTTAGCAAATTATAACATAATGTGATCACCCATGTAAACATTTACATTGCCCAGTAACTGTTGTCGTGTTCGAAATTTATTTCTCAAACATGGATGATGTGAACATTCACATTACTATTGATTACTGGGTAAATTTAGAGTAGTGCACACTGATGTGAATGTTCACATCAATGTCAGAACCCCCAAACTTCACTCAAAACTGTGATGGTGTATGATGTAAACATTCACATTGTGACATCAATGCCAAAGTTGTTTGTGTTATTGGGTGTAGTTTGGCGTTGTTGGTTCCCCCCTTTGATTTTTAGCAAATTATAACATAATGTGATCACCCATGTAAACATTTACATTGCCCAGTGGTGGGTAAAGGTTGTGATCACCCATGTAAACATTTAGGTGGGTAAAGGTTGTGGAACATGTGTAGAAATCGATTTTAGGCTTATGAATTTGATGCTTGCTGAGGACAGATGTCCACTGATATGATTGTTTTCGAAGTATTTTGGCTTGATAAATTGGTCCATAATGGTGATGACGGTCCAATGTTGTGCACCAAAGCTGTGATGTAGTCCCTCTGCCAACAATGAAATTTCATATTAGGCACCAACCAACATAGGGCATACGTCCAAGTTCAAATATTACACATCACGACAAGTATTGTTTTTGACAGCCACTTACCAGTATTTGTGCTTTGTCAATATGTGGGTCATGTATGCCTTCTCTTGGGCGCAGTGAGTTATAATGCCTCCATACATTCTCTTTCACGTCGTACACAACAATTGTCCAGTGAAAGTTGTCGTGTATTGGGAAGATTAAGAATCTTTGGCCTTGATACTCCTTGATGTGTACATCAATTAGTTTATTCCTCTTGTGGGGGGGGGTACTGTTCAATGATTTTCTGCACACAAAGGGCATACAATGATGTACTAAGTATTTATATCGATGTTTGGTGTTAATGATTTGAATGTTCATCTGCTAATGGTGGGTGATGTTACTGATGTGAATGTTCACATTTTTTAATGTTGAGTGATACTACTGATGTGAGTGTTCACAACTGTTAATGTGAGTGATATTACTGACCTGAATGTTCCCAACTGTTAGTGTCAGTGTTATTACTGATACATCTGTTAATGTGAGTAAATACTGCTGATGTGAATGTTCACATCTGTTAATGTGAATAACACTGCTGATGTGAATGTTCACATCTGTTACTATGAGTTATATTACTGATGTGAATGTTCACATGTGTGTATCATTTAAGTTTATGAACATAATAAGCATATAATATTCAATGCGAATGATGTGAATGTTCACATCTGTCAATGTGAATCTTCTCAAAGGTCATTTTATGTTTTTGTTAACATTCACATCTGCCTATTACTTAAATTAACAATGTAAGCATGTAATGCTGAGAATAACATCCACATGTATGGAGACATAATCAAAATTAAAGTCTAGTGGTTACCAAACATGTGCTTGTAAAGATGAATGATGAATCTTCCAAACTTGGGTTGACTAGCCCTTGTAGTTCAAGTAGAATTTCACCATAAGCATCTATCACCTGCAGAACCGGAGGGGTGGCAGTACATTATTTACAGTGTCTTTACCCTATGTGTGTGTGTGTGTGTGTGTGTGTGTGTGTGTGTGTGTGTGTGTGTGTGTGTGTGTGTGTGTGTGTGTGTGTGTGTGTGTGTGTGTGTGTGTGTGTGTGTGTGTGTGTGTGTGTGTGTGTGTGTGTGTGTGTGTGTGTGTGTGTGTGTGTGTGTGTGTGTGTGTGTGTGTGTGTGTGTGTGTGTGTGTGTGTGTGTGTGTGTGTGTGTGTGTGTGTGTGTGTGTGTGTGTGTGTGTGTGTGTGTGTGTGTGTGTGTGTGTGTGTGTGTGTGTGTGTGTGTTTTGTACACATTTACAGTTGCCATACGTTGTTGGTTATTGATTCTTCCTTGATGAGGTGTATGATGTCATCAAAATACACATGTTTAGTTTTTGAGTCCCCTCGCCAAACTAGCAACCTGTGCATTGTGATTACAGAAAATGTTAATGTCAACATTGCACATTTATGAAATGATCTAATTCATTAAGTATGTATGTGAACTGAACATGCTGGAAAAAAAAACAGTTGGGGATATGTAAGATCACTTACTCATCACCGCCGTTCTTGTGCAAATTTTGGACTTTTTGCTTGTTGAGTTTGTTCATGTTAGCCTAGACCTTTAGTTTGTTGTTCAAGGATAACTTCTTGGACTTTGTTGGCTGCTTTTTTGGTGGTTGCTTGTCTAAATCTTGTGCAATTTGGACTGCATGTGATTGCTGTTCGGCTCCTTCTTTCCCTTTCTTCTGACCAGGCAGGTTGGGGTATTCAAACTCGTCCAACCTGTGTTCTTTCCTTACCTTCTGCTTTATGCGCTTTACCCTTGAGGGGGGGCTGATAATGTGTTCCAATGCTGCAGTGGGATTGTTGTTAAGGCTGTCATGAGCCTTTTGTGCTTCAACTTGAGTGATGATGTGTACGGACTGATCATCAAAAAGGTCTTGAAGTATTGTTTTTTCATATTCCAAGTTGTTGACCAACTTTGTCAGCCGCTGAATTTCTGTATCTTTCCACTCCATGCAAGTCTTCATGTCCATGTCCACATTGGATGAGCCCGATTGGTCAAATAGTTTGGCTTCAAGGGCAGCAATCACCCTTGCCTTCAACTCCCATGATTCTTCCAACTGTTTGTATTTCGCTTCCCATTGCCGTACAAGAGCCCAAGCTTTTTGGTTTTCTTTCATGAGTACTTCCACAATGTCGGGCTCAGTTGGTTGTGCTATGATGATTCCTTTCTCAGCATTGGGGGTGCTATAGCTGGGGTTGATATAATGTCCAACATCATTCAGGTCCACTGCATCGACAGAAAATGCATTCCTGTCATCACTGCGTTGACTGTCTTTGCTTTGATCCTCATTGCTTTCATCTTTCTTTGCTACTGCACTTGACAAAATCTCAGGTTTTGGCTCCACATTCAATTTTGTATGACGATACATCTTCGCTTCGGTTGGTGATGCCATTAGCTCGCCGCCATATACCTGCATTTCGAGACAGTATGTTAATTAGATAGTTCCTCGTCTCACTATGTGAATAAGCACAATATATTTGGTTGTACTTCTACCTCATTTAAACCTAGCTTAGTCAGAGTTATGGACTTCATGGTGCTATGTAAGGCTGTGAGGTCCCATTTTACGCATCGTGGAATGGCATTGGGGTTGCGGGGTTGTAAGATTGTTGTATGCTCACACAGCCAATACTGAAACAAATAACAAATATCAGTAATTTGAATGTGGATATGAATTAACATTGATGTGAATGTTAATTCATATGGTGCAGTTAACATTGATGTGAATTAGCAGATATAATTTGAATGTTCATATGAATTAACATTGATGTGAATGTTTACACCACTGGTGCAGTAATGTGAATGTTCACAGTGCACCACTAGGCCAGTAATGTGAATGTTTACATCACTTAAAACTGATGTGAATGTTCACATCCGTTGATGTGAATGTTCACATCTGCTAATGTGGAGTAATGTTACTGATGTGAATGTTCACATATGTTGAGTGATACTACTGATGTGAGTGTTCACAACTGTTAATGTGAGTGATATTACTGACCTGAATGTTCACAACTGTTAGTGTCAGTGCTATTACTGATGTGAATGTTCACATTTGCTAATGGTGGGGGATGATACTGATGTGAATGTTCACATCTGTTAATGTGAATGTTATTACTATGTGAATGCTCACATTTTGCTAATGGTGAGTGATGTTACTGATGTGAATATTCACATCTGGTAATGTGAGTGGTACAACTGATGTGAATATTCACATCTGGTAATGTGAGTGGTACAACTGATGTGAATATTCACATCTGGTAATGTGAGTGGTACAACTGATGTGAATATTCACATCTGGTAATGTGAGTGGTACAACTGATGTGAATATTCACATCTGGTAATGTGAGTGGTACAACTGATGTGAATATTCACATCTGGTAATGTGAGTGGTACAACTGATGTGAATATTCACATCTGGTAATGTGAGTGGTACAACTGATGTGAATATTCACATCTGGTAATGTGATTGCTATGAAATAAAATGGCATACAGGGTCCATGTATGAGTAGAAAACCCATCCAATTGTTTCTCCGGATGTAGAGAAGAATAGCTTGACGCATGCATACATGCAAACTAATCTTGCGACCTCCTCATTGTCGTGTTTTTTTGTGCCCTTCAATTCTTCCCTCAGAATTTCTCGTATTTTGGCAGCACTTAACCGACTAACATCCTTGCACATTCGGTGTATGATGCCGGTTGTTGGTTTTGCACCATAAGAGAGGTCCATCGACCTGGTGCCGCAATCCACCCCAAAAATCAGTGATACGTCGCTTCTAAAAATCTGGATGTTCTTATCCCCAATGTAAAACCTTCCACTAGATTGCTTGAATGTTTGTACTATACGCACAATGACATTATCATATTTCATGCAGTGGTTGAGGTCGATTTCGTTACTGATCAAGCTATCAAATAATGGCCAGAACAGTGTTTTTCTAAGGCACTTCAATTGGCCACTTGTAAATTTCGTATCCTTTAACAGTTTGACCAATCTAGTTATATTTGACCGTTAGTTCACTTTTTTCATGTTCACTTCTTTAGGAACAGCTGTTTGATCAGGCTTGGTTTTGAAACGGGATTCCCCTCGCTTTCGCTTGCCATCAACTTTATGGGGATTCCCCTCGCTTTCGCTTTCGCTTCCCATCAACTTTATGAGCACAGAGGATGGAACCCGAAGCACCAAACAACATTCAACAACCAGCATTGACAGTAATTGGAACATTCACATCATTATACAGTGATGTGAATGTTCACATCAGTGTTTATTACTGTAAGTTTACACAGTAATCAATACTAATGTGAATGTTCACATCATCCATGTTGGAAAAATAAATTCGGAAAACGACAACAGTTACTGGGCAATGTAAATGTTTACATGGGTGATCACATTATGTTATAATTTGTAATAATTAATTCATGGAGATTATCTGTAAGATCGGCTTGTTGTATTTCTTCAGACATTATGATAGCGCAGCGATATGTTAGAATTGTCAGGAACACAATTCTCGTATGGGGCATCAATGGCTAATGTTCTTATATATCTTATTTCATGGAGTTGGGATAATAATTAATTTAAAACGCGTTGTCTAAAACGACGTCGCATTGATGCCATAACTCACTCTCGATGACGTCACTTACTCTCTCGGATGACGCAAGTCACTCTCTCAAAAACTTTACTGGTGGAAGAGAGTTAGGGAGTGAGTTATATAGGTGCCCAGGAGCGTCCCACTAATATTACCTGGGACGCTCCCCCCGCGCCACGTGTCGTCCCCCGATTGGTGCTCCCTTCCGCATTTTGAGGCGTGTTGTCGGCTAGTGTCTCCGCTCCGCGCCCAGATCTGCGGCCAGGATTAAAAATCGAAAAAGGCAAGCGCAAGCGGGAAATTTGAATTTAAAGGCAAGCGCAAGCTGAGGGTGTAAACAGTTAACCTACGTATGGCCCACGCTTTGATTTTTCTGCATCATGGATGCACTTGCAGCCGGCACCAAGGACGAAGCACTAGCAGTGGTACGAAATGGCGACCCAAAATGTTTCTGGTTAAATTACGACAAATTGTCATCAAATTATGACCGGATTTCATTTAATCCACCATTGCCGTATGTTCATCCATTTACAGACACAGTATGGGTCGTTCCAGCAGCAATACAGCAATGGGTTGCAGACAATATAAGAGATGAAGCCCAAAGACCGCATAGGCCCAAGAGCATTATAATTGAAGGCCCATCTAGAATTGGGAAAACATGTTGGGCCCGGTCTTTGGGACCGCATAATTATTATTCAGGCCACATCGACTTGAGGGACCACAAGAACGACGCTTTCTACAACATAATTGATGATGTGGCCCCACAATATTTAAAACACTGGCGTGAGTTTATTGGAGCGCAACGGGACTTTTTTTCAAATTGTAAATATGCCCGCCCAAAGAAAATAACGGGCGGGATCCCAAGTATTATATTATGCAACCCTGGAGCGGATTCCAGTTACAAAGAGTTTTTGGAAAAACATGAACACGCCGGGCTCAAAGCGTGGACGATCCGAAACGCAGAATTCTACACAATCGACGAGCCCCTGTTCGCCAGAGCCAATCAAGAAGAGGCATCATAATGCGAAGAAGAAGGCCCAACGCAGGAAGATATTCCACTTCCAATGCGGGTGTTCGTTATTCCACGTCAACGGATGTATCGAACCACATCCATTGGAGAGAGAAGACGCTATCAGGGGTCTTCTACGACACTTTGACGAACCCGATATGGTTCAGAGCAGTGGACTTCTCCATGCCGGGCAACGAGGGAGTGTACAAAATAGAGTGCCTGTTCAACTACAACCTCCGGAAAGCATTGGGAATCCGGACGTTTACAGCGACAATGTATACGTGGCTGACAGCCTCTGGTCGCAGAAGCCTCTCGGAGACTGTATTTACCCAGCTTATTGCACGCAGGATGAGGATCAAATTATCCAGCTTTGGGATTATTAGCCCTGTAAACTATTGTCTTGCACTATCCATCTGTTACTATGAGTTATATTACTGATGTGAATGTTCACATGTGTGTATCATTTAAGTTTATCAACATAATAAGCATATAATATTCAATGCGAATGATGTGAATGTTCACATCTGTCAATGTGAATCTTCTCAAAGGTCATTTTATGTTTTTGTTAACATTCACATCAGCAGTGTTATTCACATTAACAGATGTGAACATTCACATCAGCAGTATTTACTCACATTAACAGATGTGAACATTCACATCAGTAACATCACCCACCATTAGCAAATGGGAACATTCACATCAGTCATAGCACTGACATTAACAGATGTGAACATTCACA